TTTTATTTTATTTTATGGTTTTTATTCCTATATTTACAACCTCAGTATTTCTTTGAATTTGACAACTTTTATGTAAAACAATATACAGTTTCTTTTTGCAATTGTGTATTATGAATCTACTACATGTTTTTGCCATTTTTTCTATGTCATTAAGATCTGTAGTCTTGTAAATGATTTATCTGAATGTATCAGAAACAACATTCTAATCAGAATGTAGCTGCAAATATTTCCTGTGGTATAAAATGGTTATGATGTAAACTGCTGTAACATACATTAAGAATTAGGAAAGCATCTTTCACAAGAGAGCTGGATTTTCATTAATGTCGGACTGACATTTGCAAAATTGATTTGTGTTGACATTTAGAGTACTTCTGTTGTAGTATGGGTTCATGTTTGACATTAAGCAAAGTAAATTACATTAGTTATGCTTAGCAGTCTTCTGAAAACCACTATTATTTTAGAAATGAGAGGATATTTCTACTCTGAAAAAAATATAAGAAGCCTAAGCAGTTTACTGCATATGTGTAGCAAGTGGAACTAAGAAGTGCTGTGATCTTGAAACATCACAGAAATCCATTGTAGAAAAGGATTATGAGTTATACTCCCTTAGAAAACAGCATCATAAGCATAAATTATTGTTGAAAAGTTTCAAAAGAAAGCAAAATTATTCTTCAAAACACCAGAAAACTAAATCTCACTGGGTTGATATGAACAAAGGGAGACAGAGGGCTCCTGACTTCATACCTCAAAGAATAGCAGCATTTTTTCCCCTAGCTTCTGAGAAAATGCTGGTCTGTTGTCATTAATTATCCTATAATCACTATACTATGGGCAACAAAGGTAGTATGAAGATTGATTACCAACAGGGTACAAGTGTCTTTCTTATAGGTACTTACACTGAATATGTACAGTAACTGTAGAATTGTTATTAATGCAACACTTGGGCCATATTGGGGTTTACGTCAGCTAAACAATGCCAGCTGGTGGGCCCGCAGGGGAGGCCTTCTCTGTGGCTGCCCCAGCTCTCTGGAATCAGTTACCTCCTGAGGTCCGGACCATCCCCACCCTATTGGCCTTCCGAAAAGCAGTGAAGACCTGGCTTTTCCGGCAGGCCTGGGGCCTTTCTTGTGATCTGGTGAGATCCGGCCATGAATGGCATGAATGAGTTTTTAATGTTTTTAATTTTTTAATGTTTTTTAATTATTTTTTAAAATGTATTGTGAGCCGCCCTGAGTCTTCAGAGAGGGGCGGCATATACATTTAATTAATTAAATTAAATTAAATTAAATTTACAAAACTAAAACCCCCTTAAAGAAGCAGACCTTTACCTGTATGACTTTGAATTCTGCCTATTTATAGTTAGGATAATTTCTGGTTAAGGGTCAATTTATTCTGATAGGATTTTTATTAAGGCAATAAAAATCCAAGAGTGGTGTTTTTTTCAGACGTTTCCAGAAATGTTCTCATATTCATATTAACATACTTAATTTTTTTCTTTTTGATTCCTGTCGATGCTGAATGACTGGGACATTATTGCAAAATTGATACCCATGTATTAGTTATGATTTGCTCCACCATAAGTGTGTGTACAGGTTGGAATGCCAAACATCTAGTAACTGTGGAGGTGAAACTGATTTTATTCCTGGATGAGATTTCCAGTGTGGCTATTCTGACATTTCCATTACAAAGAAAGTGATTAATTTCCAATTGAATTGACATTCAAAACAAAATATTTTTGATTGAATATTAATGAGAGGGAAAAGGAAAACTGATCAGATTTGTGTATTTCTGGAGAAACAATTTCATTTGCACTATCTTCTGACTTAGCCAATTTTTGTTTTAAAAAGGAATAAATTCAATAGCTGGTATATATCAATGTGCATCATTTTAATGCTATTTTGCAAATATTGTAGATCTGTAATGTTAAGGGTCATTTAATAACTATACAGGGAGATCAAATTTGGCTAATTTAAACGTATAAATTACTTTTAGGCTGATTTGCCAAAACTTAAATAGTAGTCATAAACTAAAGGTAATTAGGAGGAAGAGGAATTAGGTATATTTGCTACCTTGAATTATTTATAAAAATAATAAAGGAAAACAAACAAGTCTATAGAAAGCCTGAAAGGGTATTTATCTCTTTCCCAAAACTGGATCCTAATGTCTCCTGATGCTAATTCATCTAGAAAAAAAGCCCTCAAAAGCAGCTGGGGAGTTTTGCAAGATTGTAATAAGAGTGAAAGAAAGAGGGTTCCAATTAAATCTACCCCATGATACTACTATTTTGTCTTGAAAATACTTCAAAACATCAAATGTCTTTATTGTCCCCTTTTCTGAATTCTCCTATATTATCATAAGCAGGCCAAATTGTTATTTCTTTAAAAATAAAACTAAGTAACAAACTATAATGTTAAAAGCTCATAGCTATATTTTCAAATTACCATCTCCTTTGTAATAGTATGTCAAAAAAAAAAAATCCCTCCAAGTTTGTGCTATAGCATTTCCTATAGATACATCATCAAAAGATATAGAGAAAGTTCTTTGGTACTGATGCCTTTCCTTAATAGAAAACACTTGTCAAGAGTTTAGAGCTCAACATAATCACAACTGAAGTAAAACTGAACTCAGAAGGAGGCTCCAACCTTGAATTGGTATGCTAAACAATTCCAATGGACAGATAATATCCAATTTAAAGCAAAATGGAAGGAGTATGTTGAAGCATTATACGGTAGATATGTCAGCATCCAAGATATCTTAGAAGATATCCCTTACCTACTTAGACCTCTAGTACTAGAAGATGAAGTTCGATCAGCCCTCCATTAATTATCAAGTCAGAAGGTTACAGGAAATGATGGTGCCTACTGAAGTAAAAAAGAACCAGCCAAGGTTCTAAACAAGCTATGATAGAAAATACGGAAAGCAACACAATGGCCAACCAATTGAAAGAATTCAACTACGTTCCAGAATAGAGAGAGAGAGGTAACACAGTGTGCAAACTATCCTACAATATCCTTAATTTCACATGTTAGGAAAATGATTCTTAGAATCATCCAATGCAGGTTAAGCCTGTAAGAAAAAAGAGAGACCACATGTTCAAGCTGGCTTTAGTAAAATAAAAATGATGAACACAAGACATTATTACTGATTCACACTGGATAATCAAGAAAGCCAAAAGTACACAAAAAAGTCAATGTATGCCTCATCAGTTATGGAAAAGCCTTTGACTGTGTTGACCACACCAAGCTGTGGAAAGTGCTCCGAAAAATGGATATCCCAGAACATCTCATTGTCCTCATGAGAAACTAATATACAAGTACAGTATGGACTAAACTTGACAAAATGGACCGACTCCAAGGTGGTAAAGTATGACAAAGCTGTATTTTCTTCCCTGCTTTATTTAACATATATGCTGAATATATATTAAGGGAAGCTGGATTGGAAGGCTGAATATATTTTAAGGGAAACTGTATTGAAAGATTAGCATGATTTTAAAACTGGAGGAAGAAACATCAATAACCTGCACTATGTTGATGATACTACCCTGATAGCTGAAAATAACTTAATGGCACATCATCAAACAATCACAGTCATATTTTTTTTAAAAAAAATAAATGAATCAAGATTGAGATCATAAAAAATATCCAACTTGTATGTGTTTAAGTCTCTTCTTTGTTATCTGTTACTAATGAAGGAAAAAATATACAAAGAGTAGCATTTCCAATAATGTTAAATCATTGAGAAGATTGCTAATATACATCTTAATAGACCATTCTAACCAAAAGAGTAGTGATATGTTGATGATCTAGTCATTCCAAGAAATCCATAAATGTTAAAAATGTTGCAAAGCATGCTCTGCTGCTTTTCTTGCCATTTTCATTTCCAGTGATCAATGAACAACACCACCAAGGGAATAATTTAGAGGTCTACAGATAGTAAATAGAAGTTTAGACTATGAGTTACAGTACAGCAAGAATAGTGATCATTACATGACTTCCATTATTATTTAAGAACTATAACTACTATATCATGCAATCAGCTAACTGATAGTTATGATGGGCAGCAGGTTTGGGTTCTCCAATTTAATGGAAAGTAACACAGCTCCTATTACAGAATCTCAAGATTGGCTCATAATCGAGGTGGCGCAGTGGTTAGAGTGAAGTACTGCAGCTACTTCAGCTGACTGCTAGTTCAGCAGATCAGCGGATCAAATCTCACCGGCTCAAGGTTGACTCAGCCTTTCATCCTTCCGATATGGGTAAAATGAGGACCCAGATTGTTAGGGGGCAATATGCTATTTAGTAGACTGTCTTTGGTGTAAGCTGCCCAAACTCCTCAGAGAGTGGGTGGCATAGAAATATGACTAATAAAAATAAAAAAAATAAAAAATTGACTCCTGCCCAAAAAAGACAATAAAATGTCCCCAATCAACCAAACTGAATACTATCAAAATAAGTGGAACAATTTTGTAACCCAATGTCAACCACCCAGAGTGCTTGGGATTCAGGCAGCATATAAATTAAACTGTTATTATTAAGATTTGCCGCACAATCAGCCAGATCTTTAGACTGGATTTGGCATTTTATCCTTCACAAGCACTTTTGCAATTGACAGATGGCGGTTTTTGTCAATACCAAGTATGTTCCAGTTGTGGGATTGCATTATTATACTTTTATTCATTAAACATGAAACTCAGTCAACTGAACATTTAAAAATGTATCACAAATATTATTGACTGGCACTGATGGTTGATACGGTTCCTGCCAGCATCCTAGGTATCGACCAAGTATCTTTTAAAAATGTATGATATTCCGGGTAGTGCAGGGGTTATTTTGCAGTTCTGCTGGTGTTATTGTAGGAAACTGTACTTTCTTGATGTATTTTGTAAAATTCTTGGACATGGTGCCAAGTACCCCGATGACAATGGGTATCACTGTCACATGTTTCATCCATAATGGTGTAGTTTCGATGGCCAGGTCGTGATATTTCATGATTTTTTCTAGTTCTTTTTCTTCAACTCTGGCGTCTCCTGGTACAGCGATATCAATAAACTGTACGCTTCAGTTTTCGACAACTGTGATATCTGGTGTGTTATGTTCTAAATGATGATCCATCTGTATTTGAAAGTTCTACAAGATCTTCACCTTCTCATTTTTGACAACTTTTTCCACTTTGTGTTCCCATGACTTTTCAGATACAGGTAAGTCATATTTTTTACATAATGACCAGTGGATTAGTTTAGCAACTTGGTCATGTCTAGCTTTGTAACATCATCATCATCATCACCATCATTGAAAACAATTAATAAAACTCTCATTTAAGTTATTTATAACTCCATTGTGATTTGAATTGTTGCATACATTTTCAAAGCCTCTCAAATAAATTGGGGAAAAATAATGAATTTTTTCATTATTCTTTTAGTTTTTTCATTATTCTTTCGGCATTCTTTCGGTTCTTAGAATGAATGCTTTCTACATATATTTGCCTGCCAAAACAAAATGTCTGAATGTGTATTGTTATGGAAATAACTTTATCCAGACATTTAAAGATATTTCTTTGCTATAGTTACTGTAGATGGACTGCTGAGGTTACACCATTTCCTTGCTGATTAGTAATTGGAAAGATCCACAGTGCATAGGAAATAAAGCTATAGAAACACAACTCTGTTCCATGCATGCAACTGCAACACTAGGCTTCTCCTCTGTTTTGCAGAAGTCTTGATAGCTTTTGCTACTTTTGTTAGTAGCAGCTGCTGGCTTGAATTATAAATATTTAGGCAAAGTCATAGAAGAAAGATACAGAGATTGGTAATGAAATACAGTAAGAGAATGAAATTAAAAGGGGGAAAAGCTCTGCTCTGTGAACTGTAATAGAATATTCTAAAGGTCCCTCAGTGTAGGAAGTTGGTTTACCTTAGATGCCTCACTGGTTGTTCCTCCATGTCTGAAAGGAGCATCTTACAAGGAAGCAAATTGACTCATTGGGATCTCCTTGGCCAGGACGAATGAACAATGAATGGCAAATAATAATACCTGCTGAATAAATCCTAGAAGACTCTAGTTCCTGACTCTACTTAGGAAATTAATCCTTTTCATTTCCTGTTTAAATTTGAGAGAGTGGTGCTTAAGGGGATTGACACTATTTCCCTATACACATCCCACCATAAATTAATCTGCAGTCCTGTGGCCTTTGTGTTTTTCTTTCAGACTCCTTGTAATTATAGTTTTAGCACTCACAACCTCTGTGGACCTCTACCAATCTGCCTTGCCATTTTGCAGAAGTAAGGATGTTTAAAAAGGAGAGAGAAAATTCCTCCAGTTTACAGCTATCTCTATCAGAGTTTTGGTTATCTGTGAGCAGGAATAGCCAATCAATCAATAATAAATAAATTGTAATAAATTGATTGATTGATTGAGCAGGAATATGGTTAATATTTCTCTACTTGCAAAATTGTGCTTTTTGTGTTCCTTGTTATGCTACTAGAGTAGAACTAGTATAGACAAAAAAAAGGGGGGGGGACAGGTTGCGCTTTTTTAATTTCTTTGAAATTACAATTAGAATTCCAGATATAAACTAATTTTGCTAAAGTTTCTCCTTCCTTTTTTATGAGACGTTCAAGTGCAGTTTGCATTTCTCCAGGGATTTTTAAATGTGGTATAAACAACTTGTTTAAGTTCCACTCTCTTAGTTATATGAAGGATTGCATAAAGCATTGACTTATACTGTAAAGTTGGAATTCAACAAAACAAATTTACACCATGTGGAAAAAGTAGTCAATTCTCCCTTTATATATACACTGTGACCCTAAAGTTGCTGTGCTTTTGATTTTCAAAAGGTGAACTTCTGAGCAACTGAAACAAGATTAGCATAGCAATGGCAAACAGTACTACAACAATAATCTTCCTCCATAGTATTCAATCATTTGGAATTCATATTGTTTGGTCAACCTAGTAAGTTACAGTTATTATTCTACTTCCAAAAATAACAGAACAATGGTACTGTTACAGTATATGTTGAATAGCAACATAAAAATGCAATATTTTAAGCAATAATTTCCAGAGCTATAAATACCTCCCTGGAAATAGAGATAGGTGATTATTGTGGTTCCCAATTCTTACAACTATTTCACACCTCTCTGATAATGTAAGAAAACCACTGCCATGGAAGAACAATGAAATGAAAATCAAAACAGCCTGCACTCCTGACTAATCACACAAAGTAGTACAATTCTTCCTACAATGAGTTGGAATAATGCAGGTTGGAATACTGATATCTGTTTAGCAAATCATATGTAAGCAAATAAAATAGAGGAAGGAAGGTGATAGAGTAGGCCCAAATTCCTAATAAAAGTTCAATAAAGCTTTAGCTTTTAAGACAAAGCATAGTGCTTAGTTTGCAAAAATGTAAGTGAATTATGGAACAAGGCATAAGGCACCCATAAGAAAGATTTACAGAAAGTATTGCTAAATATGGATTGCTGAAATAAGTTTAGTAGAATTGTTATGGAATATGTAAAACTTTGTGGTTAACTTACGTACAAATTAGAAATAGATTTGCTGAATATTGCATTATGCATAGATGGAAATGCTGAGACGTTGACGATAAGACACAACAAAAAGGTTTTGTGAGTGTATGACATCAAACATGTGTAACCTGTGGTAACTACTGTATAAAACCCCTAAGTAAGCACTGATGGGCTACACAGGCTTTGAGAGATACTTGTGTTCTTTTTTTCTGCATAATAAACTTCATTTACAATCATCACCTCAATGTGTTCAATTTTCAGCAAGAGCACACCAAGTAATGAATCCAGTCTTGGGCTGGGACAACAAAATGAAGGAAGGTAAATCTTAGTTTGATACAGATTGTTATTTAAAAAAGGGGGGTCTTCTTACTCCAATATACACTTTTTTATCTGACAACTCATTAGGTTCTTTTCAGTCACTCAGGGAGCATAAGAAGTTTTTATAAAGCATTTGTAAAAGCTAAGAAAGAACAAGCTTTGGAAGAGGACTGGAGGGAGATTAATATTCTAATTGCAGCGGCTAAGATTAAGAATCCTGCTTGATTCTGGTGCCTATTAACTTCTCTCCTATGGATTGTTATTTATGTCTCATCTGCCAAATGCTTGCAGATATTTGGGAGAGTTACTTTCAGAACATTTTCAATCCAGTACTATTAAATAATCCAGTGGTGGTTTCCCACCCAGAGGTGACTTCTCCCAAGTGGCCATCTGTGTCTAGAGCTAAAGCTAAGAGTTTCATTTACAACTGAAATCTGGGAAAGCTTCTGGAGGTGATTCCATCCCTCCAGAGTTGCTAAAAGAAAGTAAAGACTGATGACTCCCACTGCTGGCTGCTCTTTTTTTACTCATATTAATAGTACAGTACATTTCCATCCTAAAGTAATGATGTCATAGTTTATTTCTCTTTATAAGTATATAGGAAATAGATTTAACCCTGGCAACTATAGACCAATTAGCTTGCTTAATACAACATGCAAACTATATGCAAAGTATCTTTATTTAAAACGGTTGGACTGAGTTCAAAGTGAAAATGTTGTTATTGAGGACAGCTGGGATTTAGAGGAGACTGTTGAATTTTAGACCACTGTCACATTGCACTATTTAGCTGAAAAATACATTTCATGCCCAAAGGTACCCTTTCTGTATCCTTTGTGGATTTCAAATGTTTTTGATCAGATTCTAAAGGAAAGGCTATGGCTCAGACTTCAGGAACTCTCAATGGATAAAAGATTGCTCCTTGTTATCCAGAGACTTTATTGTAACAGCTCATTGAGAGTGAGTTGTTCCCTTCAGGGGTACCTTTCTGTAGCCATTTCCACTAAAAGATGGGTAACTCAAGGATATAGTCTATCTATCCCAGTGGTGAAATCCAAATGTTTTTACTACCGGTTCTGTCGGCGTGGCTTGGTGGGTGTGATGTGACTTGGTGGGCATGGTTTGGTGGGCATGGCAGGGGAAGGATACTGCAAAATCTCCATTCCCTTCCCACTGGGGGAAGGATATTGCAAAATCTCCATTCCCACCCCACTACAGGGGAAGGATACTGCAAAATCCCCATTCCCTCCCCACTCTTGGAGGGGCTCCCTCTGGGGTGCACCCGGAGGCTCCAGCTGGTTCAGAACGCGGCCGCGCGGGGGATTATGGGGGCAACGAGGCACTCCCATGTGACACCTCTCCTGCGCGAGCTGCACTGGCTCCCGGTGGTCTTCCGGGTGCGCTTCAAGGTGTTGGTGACCACCTTTAAAGCGCTCCATGGCTTAGGGCCGGGGTACTTACGAGACCGCCTTCTGCCACCAATAGCCTCCCACCGGCCAGTACGCTCGCACAGAGTGGGCCTCCTCAGGGTGCTGTCTGCCAGACAATGTCGGCTGGCGACCCCCAGGGGGAGAGCCTTCTCTGTGACGGCGCCCACCCTCTGGAACAACCTTCCCCCAGAGTTACGTACAATAACAGACCTCTGGATTTTTCGACGGGCCCTGAAAACCTATTTATTTCAACTAGCTGGGCTGGCTTGAGTTAAATTTTAAATTGATTTTAAATTGGGTTGTTTTAATTTACAGCCAAAATATTTAATTATTTTAATACTGTTTTTAAATTTTGTATGCTCTGTTTTTTACTTTGGCTGTTCACTGCCCTGAGTCCTATTTGGAGAAGGGCAGTATAGAAATGGAAACAAACAAACAAACAAACAAACAAATAAATAAATAAATAAATAAATAAGGATATTGGAAAATCTTCAATCCCACCCCACTCTGGGGCCAGCCAGAGGTGGTATTTGCCGGTTCTCTGAACTACTCAAAATTTCCGCTACCGGTTCTCCGAACTGCTTAAAATTTCTGCTACGGGTTCTCCAGAACCTGTCAGAATCTGCTGGATTTCATCCTTGATCTACCTCTTACTTTTTAACTTGTACATCAATTCAATAATTCATGCTTTCGTTCTGATCATCAGTCTTTAATATTGGTAAATTGTGTGATTCCAACCTTGCTATGTGCAGACAATGTAGTAATTTTGTTATGTCCCCTAGGGGAGAATGAGAAGGACATTGGCTTCCTTTTGCAGAACAACTTGTATTGAACTATCAGAAAACTACAGTGCTAAATGGCAAATTAATGAGACCCTATAGAGAGGCATGAACATATAAACATCTGGGGGTGCATTTCTAAGCTCTTTATCTTGCAGCATGCATTTCTTTTATCAGGCAAGAGATGTGGGCCAATGTGTCTCTGTGACTCTCTTAAGATTCTTCTGTTCATAGATGACACATTTTATTCCTGCAGCTTGCAAGGTTTTTCTTGTTAAGGTCATCTCTCAGCTTATTAGTGTTTTTTCAATTTGCATTTTTATAAAGTTTAATATTCTTAAAGCTGTCCAGACCAAATTTATAAGATCAATACTTACAGCTCCAAGATGCATGAAGAATGCTGTTTTACAGTTAGAGACAAATATGGTTTCTGTGAGTGCCAGAGCCTGGGTCTGTCTCCTTAATTTCTGGTTCTGATTTTTTTTTCCTCCTGTGGATATGGCTTCAACAGTCAGAGACAATTTTAAATCAACTTGACTAACAAAAGCTAATAGCAAACTCCAGTCCTTAGGCTGTTTCTTTTTTGGAAACTCTCTATCCATTAGGGCTTGAAAATGCCAGTAACCATCTTAAACAACACATTTGGGATATTGATTTTCAAACCAGTTTAAGACTAGTATCAAACTCAACAGTTTATGGATTCTTCTAAAATGGGCATGTTCTCTCATCTCTCTTCAGTTCTAATACTGAAATTTTGTCACCTCAGCCAAGTTGGATGCTCTATCTTCTGCAGTTCTGTGGAAACAGTATAAAACATCCATTTCCAGAAGCGGTGATGTCCACGTGAAGATAGTTCTGTGGAATTCCTGCTTGATTTTGTTCATCCTTCCCATTATAGAGTTGCCAGGTGTCCACTATTTGAGTGGACAGTCCGCTTTTTTCACATTATGTTCACTATTTTTTTCCCAAAATAGTGGACATTTTTTTTATTCAAAAGCTTTATGATGAAATGGTACGTAATCTAAAGCTGTACAGTCTAAGAGAATAAGGATAGGAGAGTCGTGTTTTGTCTTTTTTTTTCATAAGTTAGAATGAGACAAAGATCGAATATCCATTGAACTCGATTCTCCGAAAAAATTAATGATGAGATTAAAATAAAAATACATTATAAAATTATGTACAGTTCACATTTTTAAAATGTATTGTAGCTTGTGTTGACTGACCTAAAATAGCGTCGAGTGATGAGAGTGACAGCGGCGAGATTTCAAATTCTTTAAAACGAAAGAGAGGAGTGTGCAAATATACCAAAGACTGGGAAGCTACTTTTGCATGGATTACCAACAGCGAAACCGACAGAACAAATACGATGGCCTACTGTAAATTGTTTGTAAGAAAATATATAATTTAATTGTAATTTTTTTTTTTTTTTTTACTACTTAACCCCCCCCCCCCCCCGCTTGTCCACTATTTTTTGGAAGCAGACTTGGCAACCCTATGTAGACATTTAACCAAAAAAAAAAAAAATGCTACTCCAATTTGTGTTATAGTTACTACAAGTGTGTGTTTTATAACTTGATTACTAATTAAGATTATATGTGTTTTATTGTTGTGCTTTCTGGCCTACAGGCCATAAAAAGGTTTTGATTTGATATGTAAATTTATGTATCACCTAGCATGGCTTTTCCCCCATGATCTCATATAGGAAAGAATGCCTTAGAGATAATAATAAGGAAAAGGAAAAAACATCTAATATGCAAGGCTGTCCTTGAAAGTCAGAACTCAAAAAGGAAATTGAATAAATCTTGTAGGCTTAAAACCATAACTTTATGACCAGATAGTTATTTTTTAATAATAATTTTACATCATGAAAAGAATAACTGCAGCTCTCATTTCAAACTTTATTGAATAATATGTTTTTTCATGTGAGCAGAAAATGTTAAGAATTGGGCCTTTGGGTTTTGCAACTTTACTTTGATACAGTACACCTCAATAATTTTATTACAGGTTTGCATTTCTTTATTGCTAAAGTATATTTGTTCTCAGCAAGACTGAAAACATGAAAAAGCATTTTTGGTGAACAATTTTAAAATTGCAGAATTTACTAAACTTAATCATTTGTTTTTGCTTTGCTTTATTTTCATTATACAATTCAACATATCCTCCAGGATGTTAGTGTACTGCATGGACTATTTTAACTGTTAGGATATAGACAGCAGGTGGGACTGAGACAAGAGACTATAAAGAAAGTAATTGGTTGATTTAGGCATCCTGAAATGAAGGAGAATGATAAATGTTTGGGGAATATAAAAAGTTTGTTGAAATACAAACTTACATATATTCGTGTATTGTGTTTGAGAAAAGGAATGAACTGAAAATCATAACTGAGTTGATTAGATAGATAGAAAGAAAGAAAAAGCAGAAAATATAGAAACGGACAATTTACCTTATAAGTATTTCAGTGATTTATTTATGGGAGAATTGATGAGAAAAAGATACTGAAAGGTTCTGAATGTAAGGCAGATCATGTTTTAGATCCCAGATCCAGCATATCCATGAATAAAAGGAAAGAAATGAAATAAATTAATCTGAAAGTAGAACGATTTCAAGAAGAGAAAGAAAGGCAATTAGAAATTAGATTAATATATCAATGGAATGGCTGGAAAACAAATGTAAGGAAGATTATGTGGCCATTATATTGAACAGAGAGAAAATAATTATGTTATAAAGTGTTTCAGGAATGTATAGAAGGAGTTACAGTATAGTAATCTTTCTCTTCAGGGAAGGTTGTAAAGATGTGGCAATGGGGGGTGATTACAGAGAGCTCTGAAAGAAACTGGTTATCTGGACCCCAATCAGTAAGATTTCAATCCATACTGAGACAGCATTAGTAAGGTAGTAAATGAGATGCAGAAGATCTTGATGGTTTTCTGTAAACTTGGAAGGAGGTAGTGCAACAATTATGGTTCTTCTTGGCCTCTCAAATGCTTTCAGTGTCACTGACCATGTTATCCTTCTGGCCCATCCAGACTGGAAGGCATGGTACTGTAATGGTTCTTCCTCTTACTCTGTGGTTGGGTCCAGTTGGACTTCACAGGAGAGAGTCAAATCTGAGGTCTTTAGGATGTAGGATACATCAGGGCTCTATACTATAAACACCACCTGTTTGATGTCTACATAAGACTGCTGAGTCTGTTTATCCATAAATTGGGTCAGATTTCATCAATATGTGGATGATATCCAGTTATGCATCTTGATTTCAAGACAACTAGGCAATTCTACCAATGCTTTTTCTGATTGCCTGGAAACTGTAGGGGGGACTGGATGTAAATGCACAGCCTCTAGGTGAGGCATAACAACACTGAGCAATTATAATACAGTAGAAATTGGTTAGTTAAAAAGTGAGTGTGCCAAAACATGAGGTCTCTTCTGCCTTTAATTTCCATAATTATTTCTTACTTTTTCTGCACTTTGCAGATGGATGTATGCAAAATGTGATCCCATTAAAATGTTACTTATGCTATTAGAGTGAAATATATATGAAATATGAAACATCTGTTAGTTCATTATTTCCCATTTTTTTAAAAAAACTATCACTTGAACTATATCAGAAATCTATAAAAGAATATTCGTTGTTTCTTTTTTGAAAAGAAAACAACATCAGAAAATTTGATGCCTAGGATCACTTTTCCAAACATCTATAGGAAAGGGGGAAAGAAGCTGCACTGTAATTATACAGAATAATTATAATTATAATGAATGAATGTGCTGACAATTATGTAGAAATAATCAATTCTGAATCACAATGACTTTTTTTTCTATGTGCTAGTGTCGTCAGAGTAGATTTGTCAAAAAATGTTTTATATGTCTGTAAACAACACAAGAGTACACAACTGTACTCTTAAATCTAATGTTTCTTTCTCATTCTGTTTCCTATTCTGATTTCTAATGTCTGAAGAGCCGTCATAGCTGGGAAGTGAATTTTTACATAGTGAATGTCACTATAATTGGTCCCCTAACTCTATCAAGAAATATAAGTAATATAGTTAATTCCATTCTGTTTAAATTCCTGAGTCAGGTTACCAAAAACTCTTGAACATCAAGGTAAATGTGAAGTACTAAATTTGTGCCTAGAAAGTCAAAATCACTAGTAGCACCATGGATGTCAAGAAAATCTTATGTTTTGGCAACTGATGGTATAAAATTCCCAAACCAAGAAGGAAAGGCCCTGTCAAGTTCACAGTCTGCTTCAAACTAATGCTGCATAACAATATCTTTCTCTTAGGGTAGCAAAATAATGTCCTAAAATGAATAGTAGTGCAATGCAATAAAAAATTACGGCAAATATCAAATATTCAGAAACACATTGATACACACACACAGAGAGATTAAAACTTGTTTTCATCACAGGGGAAACTGAAAAATATTATTGTGCATTTAGCTCATCATGATTTAGTCTTGGCTGATAACAGTTTTCCAGTTTTGGTCTTTAAAATTACCTGATACAAAAGAGAGAGAGGAAGAGAGAAGCCAGCAACTGAATCTGTTATCTATTCTATGCAAAATATGTTTTACTATGATGTAATTCCAAACCAGAAAGGGTTTCGTTTTTGCTAGAAGTATATTCCTTCAAAATTAGAAGAAACTCACGAATGTCAGAAGTAGAACTTAACTCATGAAAAAAGAATTATCCCTCCCCACCCCTCTTCCCCATCAGCAATGCTTTCTTTCTTCTTTTTTTTGTCATTAAATTATTTTTCTCCCACACTCAACTCTACTCTGAGTATGAGAGACATAGTTCCTGATTAAACTTCACCTTTGCCATGAAATCAACTGATGACCTGAGTCATAGCATTATTTTCAGTTTCCTCTGAAAGATAGAGGTGATAAAAATACAGGCATTTTACAGTGATTATGGATATTGTCAGTTTGTCATTGGGTATCATTTATCTACTCATCTGCCTGGATAATATGAAATATAGTGAATTGGATTAAATATGTGAATCCCAGGACACCAGGAAATATAGCTATAGTTTTGGTAATATTTGGTATTTTGATAACACATTTTGTTTTTATCCTTCATTAGGTACTTCTTTTCTTCTATGACTTTTCCTTTCTCCATTCCAATAACCGCTACTTAGTCTGAATTGCTTCTTTAACTTGTAGATAATTTAAATATTGTCTTCTTTCTCTCTTTTTCTACTTCTCAGTCTCTGTCTCTCTCTTGAATACTTAAAAATACTTCTAACAAGAATGCTAATTTTTACTAATTTTAAAAGCATTCTATAACATGTCTAAATTGCCATGAAATCTGTTGCATTGATTCCTGTTTTCATCTTAGCTTCCTGACTTTGGTCTTTGAATTGTCTCTATTATCATTGATATAATTTACACTAAAGCATTGTTGATTAAAAAAAACATTTATTGGCAAACAGACTGCTTTTCCACTTTAATCATATAAAAACAAAATAATGCAAGAAAAGCCATCTCCCCCCTCTCCCTTTGATATCTGATGATAGCTGACAGCATTATGTCTAAGCAGTATGGAAATTTTATCCATGGAAGTGATGTTATCTGTGAAGGTTCATTCATATATAGATGTTTATTCCTAATGGTTTCAAAAATAGACAGTGACTTCCACATGTAGTGGAAGTTTTTAAGTGTTCAAGAATCCCTTTATACTTTGAATACAAAACCCTTTATACCTCCAGTAATTGGGCTTCTTTCCCCATTTTCGAACCCTGTAATTCGTTAGTTACATTGGTAGTATAGACTATGAAGGCATATATTCTCATTACAGAGACAATGCAATGTACAATTATACAGAAGATTGGACTGAGGAGAATCTCTCTTAGTGATGCACCCTCACTAATACTGGATAACGTGTAATGTCTCAAAGTGATAAAGAATTGCTATTAGAGAAAAATCCTATGTTTACCATTCTTTGTTCTCTGAATAAAAAAAAAAGTAGCATAAGTGTGACAAAAAATAAAGATGACAGTAGAGAGGGGAACAGTTATTAACAAGAGTGAATTCCCATCACTGCATCTTTTAACAATTCTTGCATTGTTAAAAACCACAACTCATTTCCCACCTTCTGTATATAAATAATGGATGAGAATGACAGAAGCCAAAAGCTTTTCCAGCTTGTCTTCATTTTGGCAGCTTACAAAAAATTCCTGAGTTCACCAACCTTTTATCCCTTCGATTTAAAAGTGTATTTTTTAATAAGGCTCACTCAGCTGAAACATGTTTTTCTAGCTGAAGTGCAGAGCTATTAGCATTGAGTACTTTCTCAGTCAGGCATTAAGGACAGAACAATTCCCCAGAGCTTGGCTGGAAGAAGGTGAAAGTCCTGTTTGTAGCATATGTACACATTGCATTTGTTTTTCATTACTAATTTCCTTCCTTCCTTCCTTCCTTCCTTCCTTCCTTCCTTCCTTCCTTCCTTCCTTGGCACTAAAGAGAATGCAAAATGATGATTATGCTTTTAATACTATTACTGCTGTTATCTGTAGAGAAAGAATCCCTCAATGAAGGAGATGAGCAATTCAGAAATGTAGCAAATAAAAACAGGCAGTCCTCAACTTATGACCACACTTGAGCCCAAAATTTATGTTGCTAAGTGAGACATTTGTTAAGTGAGTTTTGCCCCATTTTACAACCTTTCTTGCCACATTTGTCAGATGAATCATTGCAGCTGTTAAGGCAGTAGTATGATTGTTAAGTGAATGTAGTTGCCCCATTGACTTTGTTTGCCAGAAGGTTATAAAAGATGATCATAAATATGAGTCAGTTGCCAAGCATCTGAATTTTGATCACATGACCCTGGGAATATTACAATGGTCATGAGTGTGAACAATGGTCATAAATTACTTTTTCCAATGCTGTTGTCAATTCGAACAGTCACTAAATGAACTCTTGTAAATTGAGTACTACCTGAAGATGATGGATAGATAGATAGACAGACAGACAGACAAACAGACAGACAGACAGACAGACAGACAGACAGAGATAGATAAGGTAGGTAGGTAGGTAGGTAGGTAGGTAGGTAGGTAGATAGATAGATAGATAGATAGATAGATAGATAGATAGAGATAGAGATAGAGATAGATAGATATCTAGATAGATCTCTAGCAACTGTAGAGATAGACAAACAGATATAGAGAAAAAGAAAGAACAGCATCAGAGTTTAGAAGAAAGGAAGGAGCTGTACCACTGTCATTGATTAATGGCACTAGCGAAAAATTATTGAAAAATGTTCCTGTAGAAATTCATTCAAATCATCTTGTCCTCTCATCCTCAGATGAAAGTAGAATGATCCCAATGTTTTTCCTAATCTTGCATTTTGTAATAGGGAACTACAAAAACTCAAATATCTTTGTAAATTGCTATGTTATGTGGTGGAGGATTGTGTATTTAGGATAAGAGGATCCCTAGACTAGGAAATTTGGCTTCCTCTCTTTTTCCCTTATGAGAGGTTCAAAATTGGCTCAAAATTTCATTTCCAGAAAAACTTTTCACAGTTTTAAATTACAAAGAATGTTTATCAGAAACATAGTGTCCTTGAAATTCACTGGAGGCTACTCTAAAGAAGAACTTCCATAAAATATAAGCAGCCATGTAGATAGCATTCTATGGTTTTATTCAGATTTTGTAAATCCAAAATCATCAGTAAAACAACACTTTTCTTAGAATGCCACAAATGTCATAAAATGACAACTTTTTCATGTTGTTTAGTTTTTTGGAAATCTGAGAAAACCTGGCATGATATCACAGTTGAAATACTTGCAGTTGTTATAGTATTAAGGTGCTAGATGAGTTCAGCAAAATTAATTAAAATTGGAATTACTTGGGTTACGTTCTAACAAATGCATCAGCATATTTTGGGACACACAGACCTGCTTAATACCCATTTTTTAAAAAATAAAATTTAGCAGTTTATCTCTAGAAAATTTTTTTGGGATTTTGACAGCAGGGACTTATCTGTCATAAAGAATGGTCAGAGTATAAAACAATAACATGCTGTGATCTGCTTTTTAGGATGCTTTAATCAACCTATGTAATAGATATATATTATTGGAAACTGTGGTCAGTTATGATTTGAAGTACTGACTTGATGATGCTTGAATTTGGATTCCTGAACCAAACTGTGGATTGAACTAAAAATCTTATTCTTCCAGCGTCATGATTTTATGAATAGAATCTGAGTGAAGAAATGAAGTATGTTAAATATACCCTTCAAGCTTGCTTATATCACTAGTAATCACAATGCAACCAGTCCTTTCTTAATTAACTTTATGTTCTTATTTTGTTTGTAAATTCAGATAATTAACCCAAGGCCAAATGAAGCTGGAAAGGAAAACAGAGAAAGACTTTAGGGACTCATATACTTCTGTTTTCAAATAAATAAATAAATACACACAGGCACACAGGCACGCACAAGGACCTGAACAAAATCAAAATGATTTGATTTATAATTGCAGATGGACGAAATTATGGAGAAATGAGTGAAGAACAAAGAGGAAGCTTATTCAGATATAGAGAATGAAGAAAGCCTACTGAAACATTTTGCAAGCCATGATAAATGCTATATCAATTTAATCCAGAGAAAACAATAAATTGCTTTTCTCCTGACCTTAGAATTCAACACAGAGAAATTAATCTGGAAATGAAGGAAATATATGGAGAGACTATCTTGAATGTGTTTGAAAAGAGTAAATTTAACTAGTTGAACAGACCAAATCTTCATGGGAATTCTGATTTGTTTATTTCTGATTGTTTATTTTTAATGAAAGTATATTTTTAAAAAATCACTGTCTGGGTGATCTGGAGCCAGGCACTCTCTCTCGGCCCAATCTACCGCACAGGATTGTTGTTGTGGGAAAATAGAAGAAGATCTATAGAGCCATTCTGATACAGTGGTTAGAATGCAGTATTGTAAGCTACGTAACTCTAGGGTTGATTTTCACCTATCAGTGCATAGGAAAGGAAATCTTTCTTTTTTCAACTGCAAACCAGGAAAAAAAAACACCTTTGCCTCCTTACATAACAAAGAAAAATTTTAAAACACCACAATTTGATGCCATTGTTATTCTCCTCAACAAACACTTATTTAAAATTCGATGGCTTAAAGAATGGAGAAGAACCATTTTCCTATGAAGTAGTACGTCTTCTGCCTTGCCATACACAATCCCAATTTTTTAAAAAAATTAGTCCATTTTAAAACACAGAAGATGTTTTAAAACAAATACTAAGCATTTCCTATATTTTGATCCTAAAGTTATCAGAATTGTGTCATTTCAGAGCCTCTGGTTATCTGGAGCCTGTATCCCAATCATCCCTGACAATACTTACTGCTGAACCTTCAAAAAGGATTCATAAGTTTGCCTGATGTAGAAGTGAGCCCATTTTTCAGTGAGGGATAAACTAATTTTGCTGTAATCTTAACAGAGTATGAGGCATTGCCCATTGGGGAACTGTTCGTAATGAAATAATGCAATTAAGTGACAGGCCACTAAACTATTCAGCACAGACAAGAAAGAAGACCCTTTTCTGTAACACAGAACGTATTTTCTGTTTATCTTATTAAATGTCCCTGTGGGTTATGTTGTAAAAATGTTTAGACCCTCAAAAACAAAACCAACAAAATAAAACAAAACAAAAGTAGAGTGTAAATCAAATACATTAGCACTTGGCATTTAGACTGCACCAATCATCTCAGAAGTTCCAAGTGCTTTACTAACATTAATTACTTATATCCCTTTGAGCTAGGGCAGGTTTATTTCCATGGCTTTACTATTGAGATCCACAAAGTTCAAGGTCAAGCAAGCACTGAGAGAGCAGGAAATGAAAGTGAAAAGCCATTTTATGCAATATAGCACAAGAGAATTCTGAGTACAAAATATACAAGTATTGAGGCAATGAATGAAGCATAAACCTCAGTAGTGAATGAATGATAGATTTAACTGCATGTTTATTGTGAAGAAATGAAAGGCTGTAAAGTGAACTGGAATGCCTTAGCAAAGTTCATATTAGCTGCATTAATTGGGGGAGGAGATATGGCCTGTCACTCTATCACAGCACAACTTCTTCACAGGATTGTTGTGAAAATAGGAAGAGGAAAGAATTTTATGTATGTTTGTCATCTTGAAGTACTTATAAAGTAATAAAAATGGGATAAAAATTCAATAAATAAATAAGAGAATGTTTTATACATTTGCAGGGCAAAATATTCAAAAGGGAATGTACATTACAAGTGCTAGACCTGACACAATAGTTGATTTATATACAGTACTATACAGTTTAGAGGGCGCTCCTCACTAGGAGAAATTGTCTGCAATTAATAGTAGTTGTTGTGATTTTGTGTCAATTTCTATGATAGAGTTCATAACTGGAGTCATGTTGTTGTGATCAGCACCAATTAGAGTATACCTCTTCCAAAATAATTTTCATTTACTAGGTTATATACATATGTATATAATGTGTGTGTGTTTATATAATATATGTATTTGTATATATGTATATGTACAAGTATATATAATTTGCTTCATTTTCTCCTTACAACAATTTTTTTGAAAATCAAACTAATAGATAATTGTGTTATTATACATTCAGACGATTTTAAAATATTTTCACAGCAGTTTCAATACAAGAAAGGAAATAGAATTGTACTTTGGAGAATAAAATTATGCATGGGTACCTGTGCTTCGCTATGAAACTATGTGATGGGGCTTGATAAATAGACAGTTAAACCTTGAAAATTAATTAATTAATTAATTTTAAAAATTAATTAAAATTAATGAGTACTTATGATCAGCCCTTCTCTCCCCTTGTCTCCCTCAATCTTGCCCCACAGAAGCCTCTCCTCTCCTCTCCCCCTTCTCTCCCTCAGGCTTGCCCCACAGAAGCCTCCCCTATCCTATTACCTAATGACTTCCAAGATTTTCTGTACATAAAACTTAACTTTTAAGCACCTTTCAATGATTTTTGTTGTACTTAGAATGTTTGAATAATATCAATTTACTAATTTCCTCTATTTAACAAATATATTTATTAGATTTAGATGACTGCTCTTCTCAAGACTATAACTCTAATTAGCTTACAATATGACAAAAAGATATACTGACCAAAAAACAAATATATACCACAGCCAAAAGAAAGTACAAAAACTTAACATACCGCACACCCCAGGTTAAAGCGTTTTTGTTCTGATAATGTTAATTAAATACACTTTCTTTCTTTCCATCTTTGGCATAAACATTCTGGAACAGGAAAGTGAAGAATTACCTGAGCAAAAATAGTAATGATGAGGTTGGGTGTTTTATGGCCATAGCACAGTCACAACCATGTCTTGGGGATGTAGGGTGCTTTTGCTACTGTACAGTAATTTTATATATATGGAATGAAGAACTAAAAGAAAAGTAAGGCTTTGGCTGAGTTGTGATTTTGCATTAATCCTGAATTAACTGATTAATGTTTAGAGATAAGAGAAAGAAAGGTTGATCAATTATAAGTCACCATTTTCTAATTTTTGAAGCTCTTATATGTTTAATGTATGCATTATAGAAGAAAACAGTGAGCGTGTATAGGAAGTAATATTGGGTCAAATTTATCCTAGCATGAAAAATTATTCCTAACAAAAACTGGCAGGAACAGAACAACAAAGAATTTCAGAATAAGAATGCGAAAATACACATTAGCATTATTCTATACTTCCTCTAGAAAGAGCTGCATTTGCTAAATTTCTGCTTCTCATGAATCATTAAAAACCAAAACCCCACACATTTTTCAACTCAGATATGAAAGGGTTTACAGAATATGTGATCAGAGAAACAACTTTTTAGGAAACCCTATACTTTTCTCTGATTCGAATCAATTTAAATCTTTAAATTGGAATAATCTTTATGGTGTTCCCACCCACCTACACAACCATTATGCTATTTTTTTAGACTTTGATTGTTATCTGCAAGTAGTAGGTAGCAATAGCACCTGGGAATGATGGAAGGAAAGTTGTCCTTCTATTATCTGCTCCAGTGGTGGCTTTCAAAACTTTTTACTACCGGTTATGTGGGCGTGGCTTGGTGGGCATGGCAAGGGAAGGATACTGTAAAATTTCCATTCCCTCCCCAATCCAGGGGAAGGTTACTGCAAAATTCCCATTTCCTCCCGATCAGCTGGGACTTGGGAGGCAGAGAATAGTTGGGGGCGGGGTCAGTTAAAATTTTTATTACTGGTTCTCCAAACTACTCAAGATTTCCACTATTGGTTCTCCAGAACTGGTCAGAACCTGGTGAAACCCACCTCTGATCTACTTCCATCCTTATTTTGGAACCCTGAAGAATGACAGTACTAAAGGAGGAAAAGAGGCAATTGGAAATTGCTAAGATCTTCTGAAGGGTGTAGACCCTGCAGTAATATTTTACCATCCACTACCCCCATTCCATCAGACAAAGTTATTATGCTTTAAGTCTTTCATTTTCAGCTTGATAAGTATTAAAGCCTGGTATATTTATAGCATTAATGAGTGAAATGGAAACTTCAGCCAGAGCTTCATTAAGATAAGAGATCATTTTAAATGTTTGGAAATTAGGATTTCAATCATCCTTTGATAGCAAAGTATCACTAAATCATGGAACTGGAATCATGAGTGCAAGCTATATTAAGACCCATATCAGTTTCCAGTAGCAAAAAGGGGGTAACAAATATTGGCACATGTACAGAACAATGTATGAACAAGAATCTTTGCAGCAGCCCATTAAAATTGCAAATTGGATCAGCTTCCCAGGATCTGCATGGCTTCTGCAGCTGCTTCCCAAGTGATGTCAGCCTTTATCTGAAGTTTTTTTGCAGCAGCAAAAAATTTAAACTCAGCAAAATAATATGTGACTGTATCCATTTTATGATTATAATAGAAAGCTGATTACAATGAATCAGGACCAAAACATGGATATGTCATATAAACCACAGAGATAAAACATAGAGTACAAACTGCTATTATTATGCCAGAGTTTCTCATCAGCATCATAATACTATTATTACTATTTGCACTATCCAAAATTGGAGCATATACTGTAACTACTGGCACAAAGTGAATGAAATGGAGACTGATAAGATTCCCCAAGTTATGTCTATTAGAGCAAATAAAATCACAATCACAAATCTCCTGGATCACCAGACTAACTAATTTTGTAAAAAACTGTGGCCTTCCTGTCTCTTGTGTAACCGGAGAATGATTTTAAAAAAGAGCTGCCCAAAGAATTAAGGATATAAAAGCACAAAATAATATAGCTTAGTAAGATGGGTATCTTGAAATGGCTGAGCAAATACAAACATACTTTTCAAATAGACAGCTGTTTAAAGTTACAACTGTCGAAACATTTTAGGGAGATATTTACATGAGCGAGATTCGAACAGCTTGACATAATGGTCAGATATGGGAGATTCTATTCTATACCCTACAATGAACGTCTCTGCATTTGTGAAGCAGCAGAAGTAGAAGACCTGGCTCACATCCTATTTGATTGTTGCCTGTATAAGAGGATGAGAGACAGGTACCTTGGTCTATATACCAAACGAGTGACCCATAGGGATTCCCATATCAAAACAACTTACCACAAAACAACTTATGTGCAGCCAGAATCTGAAAATAACATTTAACACAGCACAGTACTGAAGCAAAATGGTTTGGTTGAGATCAGCATATGTGGGACTGATTGGGGTACATTGTAGGGGTGATACCAAAATATA